AACATGGCATTCCACTCCTCCTATTAAGGTTGGATGAGGCGACCCAGACAACACAAATTTTTATGAGCTGCAAATTTTAAGAATCTATGAAGTTCCTAGGAAGTCGGGAAGGAAACTGTCACAGGTAGGGTAGAGCAGGGCAGGCTTGAGGGCACTCCTTGTGATCCAGTGAGTGATGAGCTTAGGTACATGGGGAGGGTGAGCTGCTGGTATGGACTGTGCAGCCAGCAGTGACAAGAGGGGAAGTGGAGAGTGAACCCGGCCAAATACAGCACTGTCCAGTGGCAGCTGCCCACTTCAGAATGACTGACTCCTAGAGCAGAATTCTGACTTATTCCAGTTGGCAGAGCCATCCCTGAGGGGTTGGCAAACAGTTCTAAGGCTGGTCAAAGAGATACTTTGTGAACTGTGGGGAAGCCTCAGTAAAGGTGTTCAAGCAGGGGAACAGCTTTAGGACACCACAGGGTGCGGGTGGGGATGGGGGGAACGCCTATTCTTCATGATGTGTCCACGTGAATGGTCAAATCTTCACCTTTGAGTCATGCATTTTAGAAGAATAAATAGTAGCACTAGAGTTTGGGTTTTAGCCAATGCCTTAAAACTGAGCAGCCAGGGAGACCGGCTGGGACTTTCCTGTAGCCAGCTATATGCTTGGGCCATGGCTTTGGCTTCTTCTGTCTCTTGGTGTCCTCGAGTCTTTGTTGTCACTCTGCAGTCTAAGCAACAATGCTGACAATCGGGCGCTTGTTCCCATCTCATCTCCAAGCCTGCTAAGACTGCATCACAGCTCTTACGCTGAAGCCCAAACTCAAGCAGTACTCGTTCTGAGACATCAGACACTCTGGCAGCTGGCCCTGCAGCTTGTACTGTGTCTGGTCTCTTTCTGGGCTCACACTGAAGGTTAAACAATAAAAACCCTCCCACTAGTGGCTCTAGCTCAAATGTGATCTTACCCTACAGAGACGGAGCTCTAGTGCTGGACACACTCCAGAGCCTGCTCCCAGCCATAGCTGAAGATGCTTCTCTCACTGCTTTGCTCTATGAGAGGAAGAAACTGCCTGGCTTTCCTCAAATCCAAGCCCCGAGCCTCCAACCTCCCCAAACTACTGTACATCCAAGGCCTTTTGTGGAAAGAGGAGGAGGGAGAATGTGACAGGTTGACGATTTCTGTAGCAGTGTTCCTGGATCTTTCCCTTTTTGGTGATGCTGGTGGAGAGTGGCTACTGTCAGTTGGGCGTCAGCGTGAAAACAGCCCCTAACAGTTTGGCTAGGGAGCTTCACCTTTCTCTCACCGATACTGCAGGTAACACGAGGTGGAATTACAGCATTCAGGCTCCCTGGACATACATGCACAGATGCTGGGGTGTCAGGGACTCTAGCATTCCTCATGCCACCACCAGGCAGCAACCACATACCAGAGAACTGCTAGATCTACGCGTTGCTTGCTTCCAATCCACAGTTCTCCCCACCTCTTCTCAGACTGAAAGGTAATCCTGAGCCCCAGCTAACCTTCCGGCAAAGCTTGATTTATCCACAGAAGTGCTGCCACGTCTGTTCTCTGAGCCAACAGGTCCCTAGGTCCAGTTCCATTGACACAGGTGTTCCTAAGAGCGTTCCCCAACTGTAAATGGCTAGCCCCTGTATCCATGCATGCTTCCTGAGTAGAATTAACTAGCCCACTACACTGCATGCGTGGGCTATCTCCCTGCCATTAAGAACATCCCAATACCCAGCAGTGCGCTGCATCAGGCATCCCGTAAGATCTAGCGATGACACAAACCATATGGCAGTTAGATGCAAACACTACACAGATTATTTCAGGGACTCAAGTATGTGTGGATCTTGGCATGGGTGGAATCCAGAATCCCTCCCCCATGAACACTAGGGGATGAGGTCAAGTACAGCCAGCTGGACACTTGTGGAACTTGAGACAAAGGCCAAGGTGCTAGGCGACTTAGTGCTCCCCCAACCTCTGCCATCATTCATAGGCAAGCCTGAAATGGCCCCTCTCCCCCCAGGCCATGCTCCTATGCTGTGGCGGCTCTGTCTTTGAAGCATTGGTCTGCATCAAGGAGGCACGCTTCCTCTTCTCAGGGAGCTGGTTGTCGGGGATGTCTCAGCTGAGCCAAGCAAAGGGCGCCATGTCTCTTCTCTAGTTCTTGCTGCACTCCATGGACTGCAGGAGTCATTCAGAAACACAGGGCCTGCAAGATGGTGCAGTGAGTAGGGGTGCTTTGCCACCGAGTCCCCAACTTGATCCCAGGGATCATACAGTGGAAAGAGAATTACCTCAGACAAATTGTCCTCTGACCCCTGTAGATGCTGTGGCTCATGAACAGCCTCCAACCAAACATACACGCAATAAACAAACAAATGAATATAAGAAATGTGGTGGGACTTTTTTTTTTTTTTCTTAAATCCCTTCTTTTACCACTATGGTAGAGTCAATGGACAGAATATACTATGTAAACTACATTAAAACGTTTAGTCCACGTTGGTAAAGGTCAATTTTTGGTATTGCATGCCTCCAATAAAGCAAGTTGGAGGGGGAGGAAGAGTTCCCACCCCCGACACACCCATCATCCCACAAATGGTGCATGGGTGTTCTTACTGGGAACAGTCAAAGAGGCCACTTTTTAAAGGCTGTGGTGTAAGGAGATAAGATTATTTTGACATGTTTGTGTTGGTTGCAGATAAAAAAAATCTTTATTTTGTTCTAAATAATAGGCAACAAGTGCCCCTGCCTATCATGTCCTAGGCCCAGGACTGTTGCCAATACCAAAGACAACCAACAACCCCAAATCAAGACCAAGGGTGGGGAATTTCAGGATGCATTTACGCCAAGGTGAGATGTGATGTCTGAGGTCACATGACAGATTTCAACAAGCAGCAGCCTGGGTGTGGGAAGGTTCTCAATCCTCCACATGAAAACGCATTTTCAGTATGTATGGAAGCCGACATCTTCCTTCTAAACCAACCTACTGAGCCGAAGAGCAAGGTCGGAACTACAATGAAGTTTCGATGTGTGCTTAAGCTATTAAAAAAAAACAAAAAAAACAACAACAACAAAAAAAAAACTGACAGGAAGAAAGAATAAAGTTTCAGATGTTTTTATTCAAAGGTTCTCAAAAGAAATAAAACAGAAAAAGCTAACAATCTGGTCAAATGTACAGTTCAAAAATGTCTTTTGGCGTTTAACAAGTCCTAGAAAAGAAAACTACAGAGTCATCTTGAACCAGTAAGTCACCATGGCAAGTATGCAGCACTAGAACAAAAATAAAAAATTAACTCTCTTGATCATATAGATATCTCTATGAAAATCTTTTTTTTTCAATCTGTACAAAAGGTCTTTCTTCATAAATTAATTTTTTTTATAATTTAATGGCTGTCTACTATGTGATGTTTAACTGACTTTTTTTTTTCTCTTTTATATGTACAGAGGTTGTTTCCCGAATCTGACCCAGACGAATATGGCACTTAGCTCAGACATACCTAGCAGCAGACGTCCCTCCCCTACTGACTGAGCTAGCAACTTTCTGTCTTAACTAATGGAAAAAATATCAAGTAGTGAGAGGCCCGGGCTGATAAACTAGGTACGTGGAGGGTGCTGCGTTCAGTCTGGACTTCCACAAAGCAGAATGTTTTAGGGAGCGTAGAACCAATAATACCACAACTTCTTTTTTTAAAAAAAAAAGAAAAAAGAAAAAAAAAAGAAAGAAACAAGAACAGAAATAAAAAAACACATTTCTCTTATGACTATGTAATTTTCACTAGACTTTACACTTTCAGAGCAGCAAGGACTTTTGAAACTATGAAATGTCGCTGACATCTATCATCAAATACAAGCAATAAAATTTAAGAACTAAAAAATACTCCAAAGAAACAACTGTTCAGCCCTAGCTCCCGAGCTAGGAGGATTTGGTCGGTGGGAACAGGGAGGGCCAGCAACCTGTCCCAGCACAAAAGAAAAAAAGAGCCTCTGAGGTAGATAACTGATCATACACAGCTGACCAGACAAGTACACAGTTTTGGAAGACAACTTAATTTACCATTGCTTTTTAAAACGTATGCAATCACCTTAATAAAAGAGCGTTAATAACAGTGAATCATCTCATATGTACTAAAGTAGAAATAACTGTATTTATGAATCAGGAATTTCATAGTTTCAAAGTTGGTTTTCTTTACACCTGAACACCTGTAGTGATGACGTAAAGTGTGGCACTGCTTGGAGTCAAATCTTCCTTCATGCTTTTTTTTTTTTTTTTTTAAATTTGTCTCTGTGAGTCCATACATCAGTTAAAATTATAAAACCTAATGCAAAGGTACAAAAAAGGCACATTCTCCTAACCGCAAACTGGTCCGGCAAAAAAGAAAGAGCAGACAAGAGATGACGCTGAGACGGGTGAGCTACCGGCTACTGGCTCTTCGGTCTTTGGTGAAGTTACCATTAAAAGTGCCAAGTCAGTTTTAGTTTTTCAAATTTACCTAATAGAGAGTGAGTGAGCGAGCGAGAGAGAGAGAGCTAGTAGCCAATCATTCTGCTTCTGTTCATATCTCAGCTTAGGTTTGAAGAGAAATTCTTACTTTTAGCTTCTGCCATTTAGTTTCAATAGCAACATTTTTTTTTTTCTCGGTTTGCCAGATCACAGGCGTGATTCTCATTCTAAAGCACTATCGTTAGTATAAAGGACAAAACATTCAGTGACTCCCCTCCCCCGCCCCCCACCCCCACCCCCAAAACTACCTACACTAAATCTAGAACATCATTAATTTTTTTTTCTTCCTGAAAAAAGGCAAAAAAGACTTTACATTGCATCATACAGCAGGTATCCTAAATCAGTCAAACTATCAGAGGAAACGGTGGGTGTACAGCCTTACAAACGATTTACCCTAGTAAAAGTCCCGCAGTCAGAAAATGTGTTTCACACAAAACAGTTCTCCCTTCTTGCACGTCACTACCTTACACGTTATGTGAAAAATCATTAAAAACACCTACTACGTATTTTAAAAAAGCCAAAATTTCAGCAACTTTTATTGACTACCTTTTAAAAGCCCTATGCTGCTGCTTTACAAGGCGTAATAGACCAGCCCATTTGGTCAAAAGCATTCTACATCATTAGTTTGACTAACTTTACTGAAACAGCTACAGCATCAAAAGAGTTAAGGCAAATTGGAATTCATAGAAAAGGATAAGACACTTCACACTACGTCGAAAGAAAAATGGAAAGCCAAGGAAAGACACGGAGGGCGACACTGAGTTACAGCCACACTGGCACGGCAAGCAGGGGACACCATGGCCGAAGTCGGACAACTGAAACTTCAGAAAGCCCATTCCATACAGCTGGAAAAAAAAGGACAAATTAAACACAAAACGAACAAAACCGCAAAAATCCGGTCATGCACTTGGATAAGTCTTCGTGGTCTTTGTGCATACCCAGAAAATTGAAGTTTTCTTTTTCTCTCTCTCTCTTTTTTTTTTCTTTTCTTTTTTTGCATCATTATATTTGATAAAAATCTTTGATTTTTTTTTTGTTTTTTGTTGTTGTTTTTTTTTTTGTTTGTTTTTGTTTTTTACTAAAATAAACCTGTTCAGGGGAACAGCTACTAGATGAATTTAAGGGTTTTATGCACCTTATAGAACTTATAGCAAAAATAGTTTTAGTTGATTTCATTATAAATAACGTTTTCAAGAACCTGTGCAAAACTGTCAATAATTTCCTAAAGCACAATTGATCAGAAAAATCCATGATTGTTCAGCCTTCACACCCTTCTTCATGTAAGAACTCCCTTCGGTCCATCTGGAAGAGAAAGATAAAAGACCATTGTCTTCGCTGACAAAATAAACACAGGGCAGGGCTCTGTCATCTTTTTTTTTTTTTTTTTTTTTTTTTTAAAGAGATGAAGGCTGTGCTCAGCCATGGTGGTAGACTGAGGGACATAAGCTGGGGACCTGAGGGGCAGTTTCAATTTCTTGTGTCCACTTTTCAAATCTGGGACTTGCAAAATACTTTCTTCTCAAAGGGAACCAGAGCCAACTCCACACGGGATCTCTAAGGGTGATTTGATGAGATCAATGAGGTCAATCCAGAAACTAGATCCCACAGTTATTTTACTAAAATACGTATGGTTAAAGTGAGGTTTGAAACTTGTGGCTCCAGTGAGAGCTGGTAATAAAATCTTTTGCTCCAAGAATGCTAACAGTCTGGATTCATGGTCAAGATGCTGTTGAGCTTGACTGGGCAACATCTTAACGCTGCATCACCCTTAGTATTTCAGCAACATGATATAAGAAGCTTCTATTGTAGGACAATTTTGGAACCTAATGTTCTAAGATGCTTTAGATTCTATGAATTTTGAGGCAGAGGAAAAACATACATTTTATTTCAATGTAAGCCTTCTTTGTTATCTAGACAGAATCTGCAAATTCATACACACATTAAATCAGAGTTATTCTAAGCGTCATTTGATGAAAGTACCCCAGGCTGCTTCATCTGAGCCCTGCGTTTACAGAGACATTTCCCTCATACCTCACAGTTATTTATTGGGTTGGAAGGTATATGGAGAATGGTCATTAGACGTCTCCACAGCCACCTGCTGCTGGCCACTTGCTTCCTACAACAGAGAAGAATGCACGAGACATGTTAGCAATGGGATCTTAACTATGCTGGTAAGGCCTGAGTCCAAGGACGTACACCTTAGAACACACACTCTTCAAAGTGAATTTCTTAAAGTCGAGAAAGAGCTTTTAAGGCTAATCACTGCCCGAATGCAGCTGAAATATGACAGATATGAACCTCCCATCCAAATGTTTGACTTAAATATTGATCAAAGAAATCTCTCGGCTTCATCTCCTTAGAGACAGATACAGTTTATAATTCAGTGTTTTCAGATTTTAGAGTCTGAGACACAGCGTCCGGGCCCACCCTAAGAAGACACTGGATTAATCTCATAATCAAACTTTCTAATACTTATATGTTGAAAAATTTAAATCAACTCAGTAAATGGAAGCAGGGTCTGGTGGTGCACGGCTTGCAACCTTGGCTACCTGAGAAGTAAGGCAGAAAGAGGGCTGCAAGTTCAAAGCCTGCCTGGCTTACAGAGTGAGGCTGTGGGTTCAAAAGGGACATGGACATAGCTCGGTGGCAGAGCACTTGCTTGGCATGTTAGAGGGCTTGGTTGAACTTCTACTGAAATAAGAATAAATCAATAATAAGGCAAAAAACCCAAAGCACTCTGGCTACTTTGCTGACCTGTCTCAGCTCAAACTGTGTGGAAAGCCACAGATTAAGCTGTGGTAGTTACAGAGAGGATTTCTGCTTTCCATTGTTATGGAGGTTTCATGTTACAGAGGGACTACATAAAGGGCTGTGGGTTCAGGCAGCTGTGGCAGGTCAGAGTTGTATGATCATGCAAATAATACAACCACAGCTCTCGGGAGCCTTGGGGGTCAACTCAGTGGGTAAGAAAATGGGACGGAGGACTTCCTTGTACTCTGGAGGATACTTTGCAGGAGAATGCTTTGCTTCCTATCCAACCAAAATATATATCCCCAAATAATAACCAAGAGTTGTTAGAAATAAAACCAGGTACGGTTTTATCGTTTAGAAACACAAGTTTTTCTTTTTCCATTATCTGAATTATAACCGGTTTCTCTCCATAATTATGACCACTGACTCAATCTTTAGGACTAGAATTGCAGACTCCAATTTTACCTTAATGTGCCTGAATCATTTTGCAGATAACAGGACAGAGCCTTGCACTGGTATGAAACGTGCTACAACACTGGTAAGTTATTCCGGAGAAGTCTGGGGAGTAAGACGTGGTCTGAGTGTTGCTGCACCGATTTCCACAGAGAGCACTTAACAGCTGCAAGATAATACTGAGCACATATTCTTTCTAGACCCATTTATATAATTTTTTTTTCTCTTCGTTCTGAAGGATGGTCTGGTGATGTAGCCTGAGCTCACCTGAACTTGAGGATCCACTAGCCCCAAGACTCTCTGGTGTTGGGATAACAGGTGTGTGCCACTATGGCTTGATAAAATAAATCTCTGACTGTTGATAAACTTTTTTTTTTTTTTTTTTTTTTTTTGGTTGTTCTGTTTAAAGGACTCAGATGTAAACCACCCAGTGCCGCAGTGGCCACTGGATGCGCTGTACCAACCTCAACAGGAACCGCCGCTGTCTGCATGTGTGTGTACTGTGGCAGGTAGGCTCCTTGCATGGCTGACGTCGCGGGCATGTACTGAAAAGGAGAAGGTGGTCAGGGTATGCAGAGGCAGGCCATGCAGAATTCAGCTTCCTGGGGCGGTGGTGGGATTAGGATGGATGCAAAGTACTTAGAATTCTCAAAGAATAAATTAATGTGGGCATGTCTTACAGCTTGACTACTGCAAAGGAACCTGCCATTTGAAAGGCAAAAGTCAATGTTTTTAACCCGTCAAACGAAAAATCCCATGTTTCTTTGAATTTGTCAACAACAACAAAAATGTCCCCACCCCAGGTCATTAATGTTTCTCATCTGCAGTAATTTACCATCATCAATATATCATAAAAATCTCTCCTCAGGAGGCCCTGTTATTGTCTGGCCACGCTCTGAGTTGAGTCCTCATACAGTTTGTGTAAGGAGAGACCTGAAAGGGATGGCTGATGAGGCCAAGGAGTCCTTCTCTGGGGATCCCAGCAGTCTCATTTCCCAAAGGCAGGTGGGGTGTATAGCCTATTTCTGGGCTGTGTATTATTCTGGATTTCCTTTCACCAGAAGCTGTTGCTGGCTTTCAGCTCAAGAGGGAAAACACTCCGCTCTTTGCCCTTTCAGCCACCACACACATAAGCTGAGTTGAACCCCTTTGACCAACTTTTACATTCTGAACTCCACAAATAGCAAGCTGCCAGCTGGCCTCGTCCTAACTCAGCCTTATAACCCAACCCATCCCTTGCAGTATAGGAAAACAAGTCCCCATGAAAACTGTAATTCAGCGCTGCAATATTGCATGGAAGCAGACACTGCCTGGCTGCCCACCATGTACCCCTTCACCTCTCCCTTTGTAACCTGCACCTTGTAACACAGGTTATAAAAGCTGGACATGGGCCTGGGTGGGTGCTTTGTGGGTGAGCCAGAGGTATCCAGAGATGGACCTACAGGTTATCAACTAATCAAGAATTTTTCTGAGTGCTATCTTACTTTGTGGGAGGCAATGCCTGATGGAAAGGGGGTCAGACACAATCATTGTCACCCCTAAGCCTGGGCTTTCACTAGGGATTACACAGGCTTCTTTAATTCGCTTTCCTATTTGCAGAAACACAGGATATTAATTTGCCACCTACTGTTCCTGTGCTGCCTAGTGACAGGTGACTCATCTGCTGGGCCAGAGGGCTGATCATAGAAGCAGGCTGTAGTGACATAGTGTGTTCCATTGAGGGAGTTAACACGGCACCCTGGGAAGGGAGAAAAGAATGACAAAAGAGAAACTGTGAGAGAGTTAAGATTGGTTAAATTAAATTACATTCTCCCTTTGCTAAAGCAAACATAACCTCCCTCAAACTTGCAAGAGGAACCCCAAGCAGCTACCCCAAATCTTCCAGGCTGCTTTCCTGAAGCTTTCGTAGAAGTGTTAGAGAAAACAACACTGTGACTTCGTTCCTCAGAAATCCTGTGTTCACCCTGACCTAACTGTAAAGCCATAAAGCCCAGCAAGAAGGGCGGAAAGAAACTGAGGACTACTGGCTTCAAGGGCTACCAAATGTTAGAAAGAGACAGAGGGAGAGGGAGGGAAGGATGAAGGAAGGGTGGAAGCGCTGGATGGAGGGAGAAAAGGGTAAGTTTCATTTTCTACAGACAGAAAAATAACAAAATATAGCAGCTTCTTTCATAGATAGTCATCTGGCTCAAGACTAAGTAGGCAGGAAGAACTAAGAGCACATTCTTCATTTACTGACTATTTCTCAGAACTTCCTGTTTTGTGTCTGGCAATTAAGTTAAGATCAGTAATTCCGCTCCAGTTCCATCTTCACTTATTTTGCTTGGAAAAATTTTGCCATTTAAAAAACAAATTAAATATACGTAAGAGAACAGAGGAAAGGAAAAAAAAAAAAACCACTCATAAAAATCGATTAGCAGCACCTAACCAAAAGCTGGATTCTCCATCAGAGAATATGAACAAGTTTCTACTTCGGTTTCTTATTGGTACCTGAGCTTTCTAGGAGAGATGCTAACTGCCCTGCTGCCATCAATTTTAACAGCTCGGTCACGTTATAACTAGATAGCAACCAAAATTGAAAGTTCAGACATTTGTCTAAATTTCTCGACATAATCAACGGATTTCACCACTCCTCTCATTTTTTGCAATCACCGACTGTTATAGCATGCAACTACTGCATTCTACTCCACAAACATGAAAATTTGTTTTATGCTCACTGTAGCCGATTGCCCAGAAACACATTGGTAATACTGATAATACCAGTGTAGGGCCCAAACAGATGTTTCACATGGTTTGAATCTAGGTGGAGAATAGTAACACAGTTCTTCACAAAGAGTTAAATTACAATACATGCAGTGTTGGCTTCTAAAAGTCACCAAAAGAAAAAAAGCAAAGGATGCATTTCATTTTTTAAGGCATATCATCAAAATCACGCAGTAACAAACATCATTAGATTTAGATTACAGGCAAAGGGTTTCCTGATCCTTCTCCCTCACCTATTGGTACCTCAGGAGCCCACAAAATAAGACTGTCTGACTTCCGGCTTTCCACATGAACTATGAAGTATTGGGGCACAGACTGTCGTGGGGATGTGGGGAAGCATGTCATGGGCATCTATTTGTAGGATTTATGAATGTATATGTGTACATGAGGACAGGTATACAACATGTGTTACTTGTGTCTGAACAGCTGCCTCAGCATTTCCTGTTCGGCATTTGTTATTTCCTGACTGCTGTCTTTCTTACGCTGCAGTGCCTACTGTAGAAGAATCATTCATGAGACAAACCCATTTCATTTTCAAGCCAAAAGCTGACTTTTCTTCCTAAGCAAATAATCTGGTTTTTATACTATAAATGTTGTGATGATTTACACATATGAAAATGCCTATTTTGCAACTGGTAACTAGAAAGCAAAGGGCCAAATCTGTGTCCTTTTTGTGGCAAGTGTGTGGGTTACCATGGGCATTCTTAGCTTGGCTGGCGAGTCTGTTCTACACACTTGTTTTTAATTTTGACTATGTTTAAAATTCAATAAACTGGATTTTGTGTATGTGTGAAAGACACATACTATATTAAAAATTCGAATTTTTTTTTGTTTGTTTGTTTTTGTTTTCTTTTGAGACAGGGTTTGTGTAGCTTTGGTTGTCTTGAACTCACTTTGTAGACCTGGCTGGCTTCAAACTCACAGAGATCTGCCTGCCTCTGCCTCCCCGAGTGCTGGGATTACACGCGTGTGCCACCACACCCAGCTGCACTGTTGTATTAGTGGTTATCCCTAGACAGGCTAAGGGACAGTGATGAGAAGCTCCGCCTGGATCGGAGCTCATGTTTGAATTACAAAGAAGGTAAAAATGAAGAGCCATTTCTTTATAGGCATTGCAAACCATTTAGTCACTCAATCAATGATACCCTACTGAACCGGTGTGATATATTTTAAGTTCTTATATAAAACTTAACACCTACGAATAATTCACTTTAGGACAATGGAGAGTTAAAATAAAATACCATAATACACCAGCATGTTTTCATAGTCCATGTTTCAAATTTTTCCAACCACCCTACTACCACCTTTGGTAGAGGACTTGTAACTCAAGAGGCTGCACACACAGCTTGCTTAGAGGACACGAAGGCATTAACATGAGAAACTTACAGGGTGCTGCAGGATGTATGGCTGAGGTTGCATCCAAGAAGGACTTTGCACCTAGGAAGGATTTTAAAAGACACATTGATTTCCACGGTAACCATAATCTTACTCTCTAGAATTATTTTTAATTGTGTTAAGAATCTATAGTAGTAAGATAAGAAGACAATACTATCAATGATTACAAAGATTAAGGCAGTTAGAGCTCTGGAGAAACTGGCCACTCTAGAGGAGGTGAAACGATCATTTGGAACCAATGCCAGTTTGCCCACTCAGTATGTATTTACTGAACATCAGGCACCAGGAGCAAGAAGGGAAAGGCACGGAGCTAGGCTTCACCCTTGAGAAAGGTACCATCTAAACAAAGGAAATAAACGTGGAAGCAATCCAAATTAGTAAAAAGTGTTATAATCAAGGTATGAACTACGTTTTAGGAATACTGATGGATGAGGATTAATTGCAGAACATTTCGTCAGAAACTAGCCCTCACCGTGCATACGTACTACTTATCAGGCATAACCAAATGCAATTCTCTGATAATCAGGAAAGGACGTTTATAAATTCTGTGTGGTCCTCAACAGTTTCTAGTTAATGAGGAAGAGAATGTCTGAAATGCAGACCCAGGGTATTAAACAGGAGGTAACCAGCTCTTGAGGTCAGTTACATTAAAAGGGCCTCCACACAGGGACCCTCTGAACCAAGAAATACGACATGAGGGTCAGGCTCTGTGGCGGGAAGGAGGTGAGGGTCCCGCCACGGAGAGGATGAGTCTGCATACTGATGCTCATGGCTTTTCAAGGGCTATGGGACTGTAAGGTAGTTTCCAGTTCTTATGAGAACCCTCCTGTGTCCTGTCCCCGAGTGTTAACTTCAAAGGTTCTACAGAGAGAATACGGGGGAGAGTCATGGGGAAAGAACGGAGTGCGATTTACCTTGATAGCAGAGCCCCGATACTTGTTTTCTCTGGTTTCCTTTGCCACCTAAGGCAGACCAAAGTTAAGTGCTTCTGCCTTGTTAACATTTCAGTTATCTGGACTGCAGCCTTTCCCCACTGGGGTACTGGTGGTGTCTTGAAGATGCACTTTCTCAAATCCAACTGCACAAGCATATGGTGGTTTAGTGGAGAAGGCCAACTCCAGCATGAGTGCGGGCCATTACAGACACATCACGAGAGGCAAGCAGCTCCCTGCAAACCCCGATTTGGGCCAGATGCCCCATTTTTTAAAAAATGCTTCTACGGTCATATTGCCTAAGCACTCATAGTATTATAAAGTTAGGGAGCTATGACATCTACTCCCATGTTTTTATTCCAGCAGCAAAGGGGCCACTGTTAGCTTTTATTTCTCGACATTCCCTAATTATAAAATGGGAATAATAATCTATTAGCTTTTTACCATTGGTTCTTTGAAAACCTCAAAAGAAACAGAACCCCCAGCCCAAACAAGCTGTACATTAAGTAACATTTTTGCGAACACCTCAAAGGGACCTGGGATTACTTGAGGGTCATCCCTGACCTCTGCTCGGCACTGACCATATAAAGATGGTACCATCTGAGAGGTTATGTCTACCCACGTGGAATACATTTCACACGGGTCTTACAAAACCCACAGAATTCCCCAAGGAGGAAATGAGGCCTTGAAACGACAGGATATCTGCTGTTAGCCATGTCCGGTTGGTTTCCAACACTGGGCCCTGCCTTTTTTTTTTTTTTTTCTATAAAACGGCTGACAGGCAAACTTCTTTAAGGAGGGCAGGTAAGTGGTAGAGAGATGGATTAAGAGCTAAGATGTCTATAGCAACATGATAATTAATGCAGTCTTCTGTTTGCCCTTATTTCTTATTTCATACAGAAATGACAGATCGCCATTTTCAGGTCATCCAAGACTACATTTTAATATCAGCTGCAGATGCGGCTTATGAGGGGAAATGGACTATATCCACTCACTCTAAGAAACAAGGACAGGAAAGGAATCTAAGCTCCTAGGCATCTGAAGAGACATAGATAAATACTGTGCCCAGAAAACTACTACTTCAGACTTAGGAAACAGCTCCCTGACTCTACATAAAGCAAAGAAAAGGCATGGAGGCTGGGAGTGGGCAGAAGCTGAAGGCTGATGGGGACAGCACTGCTTTGAGACTCTGCTTTCAATACACAATCCCTTCTCCTTGTCAACATTATATACTTTTTAGGCAGAGCCAACTCTGACACTGTCTTATACTGATCCTTATTGAAAATGTGCAATTAATATGAAGCGATGATGCTACTAGCTCACGTTTACTAGGTATTAATGATAGGCCAGCACCGTGGAGCACAATAAATTTTCATTTAGTGCTTAGAACACTCTCAGGCTTATACGGTAGAAACTCTTATTATCCTCATTTTAAAAGACGAGGAAACTGAGGCTTGTCTATCAAACAAGTCACTAGACCAGATGCTGTAATCCCCTAACCGCAGACATCAGGACTGTAACATCTAATTCAGTTTTAAAAACAAGAATAGAGTTTAGTCACACACGGTCCCAGCAGTCAACAGAAGAGAACGCTCTTGCAGGCTCATAACTGAACTCAGCGACAATGCTCCTATCTGGGTCTGGGCAGGAGAAAGGCACACATGCCTTGCTAGTCTTATATCACCGTTAGATCGGTTTGACAAGGAGCTTAAGGAGGGTTCATTCCTCAGCTGGGAACAGAGGCGAAGTAAAGCCTCCTCCAAAATAATGGAACAGGAGTTAATGGCCTCTTGCTTCTTGGTGGGAGAAGGGCCTCAAATCTCAATGGCATCAGTTAGTGTCACCTGATATAGACAATCTCTGTGTTAGCACTTTTAATTGTCCTTTTATCCCTTCCTGATAGTTAATAAACGAAGACAGGAGCACACATTCATTCTCCATTCTGTAACTCGCGTAAGCTTCAATTTCTGGGACACACGATGGAGAAAGTACACGCATGTATCCCAATCCTAGAACCATGTGATGATTCTAACCACTTCCCTGGCTTTGCACTCTCCTAGGCAGAAGAGCAAATCGCTATGCCAAATAAAAGGCAGCTTATTCCAAAGCAGGTAGCCAAGCTGCGTCCAATTTGACTTAGATTTCATTTAAAAACTGTTGAGAACCTGAAGACACATAAAAAGGCAGCAGGGATGCACGGGGCCCTGCTGACGAGTCCTGGGGTACAAACCTGGTAGGCAGATACAGGAGATGCGATATAGGGTGTGAGAGAAGTTTGAGTGATCATTCGGTTTGTGGCAATACTGTATGGTGAAGGGTAAAATCTAGAACAAACACAAAAGCCTTTATTAAGTAATCCTTCCAACGGAATCAGTCATGGAACAATGTCTGCTACCTTCCACCTTCACTGTTCCCTCAAGCCATGATGCATTCATCCTAATAACGTACCCGTTATGTAGAGCAGCTGTAGTTGGGTCGTAAGTGAGTGTCATTCCAGCCTTATGGGAGGAAGCAGAAGGAAACATGAAAATCCATCTAGAATGGCACGGTTTGAAAACTGCATTCTGTACAGTTTCATAGCACAAGACGGCAACCGTCATATATTTGATAAAACTGCGAGTTTCTGTTTGCTAAGCACAATCACAAACTCAGCATGAGAATTAAGCTCCCCTCGGTTGCCCCACACAGCCGCCATTACTGCAAGGAGCTACTGAGAAGTAGAAACCAATCTCTCCGGTGAAAGAGCCAGACATCACATGTTCAGAGGGCCACAGGTGGCTGTCGCTGGACAGCACAAGTTCAAGACATTTTCTCCACACATTCTGGGTTCTCTAGGATCTTGTAAACATAAAAATTTACTGAAATAAACACAAAGAAGAGGAAGCCCAATGTTGCACTAAGAAACTGAAGGTTTTTTTTTTTTTTTAAAGCTTCAAAAGGCTGCTTGTTTGTTTACTTTTTAGAGAGAGATGGCTTGTGGAAGTGGGAAGGGAAAAATCACGATCAGAATATACCAGTATGGCACAACATTTTTCCAATAAGGAAAAAAAAAAAAACCCTAGAATATAAAACTAAATTCTCAATGACAAATCTGCCATTTATTTCAATGTTAGGACAGATTCCTGAATACTACTAATGTAAAGCTACTGAAAAGGTGTATCTGTAACTGGAACCCTCTACACTCAAAAAGCACCTGCAGCCATCCTTTCTCCAAGTGCAGTGCAGCTGCTCCTATCATCTACCTGCCCTCCTGTGGAACGCGCACTCAGTAAAACCCTGCACCAGAGACAGCTGCTGCCAGCCCCCGAGGGAAATGGCGCCAGCAAGAAGGTTTAGTCTGAGCCATTTCACAAGCGAGGCAGCTCAGTTAAGACACCTCTGTAGGGCACTCCATGACGGGTGCTCAGGATCACACACCCACACTAAAGTTTCAGGAAAGGACTTACGATTCTCACCTCTCCTTCTCTGTGCCACGGCCGCCCGTTAGGGATGTATTTGTTTGGGTTCTGTCTCTTCTTCTGTCCTCCATCTGCAAACTTGCACAGTAAAGGTTCTGTAGGAGCTGTGAACACAGGGGGGAGACAAGGTGAGCCCACGAGGGTAGGTGTGCCCGACAGAACATAAGGGTGCTTCTCTCTTTCACAGGAGCACTTTCAAGGCAAGGTTTCAGGCCCTGTGAGTGCATGGATGAAGAGCGGTGCAGACTGCTACTAGTTACTGTCTCTAACTGGAGAGCCGAGGGGAAGCCATCTCTAGACACTGCGACACTGCGACACTTTCCACTCTGGACCCTCTATAGCTCCACCGCCGGACAGTCAGCAATCACACTCCAAAAGGAACATGGACACTCCTCCAGCTTCCCAGACGGCACTCTGGCTCAAAGAAAGGCCCTGTTGTGCGGATTGCAGCTCGCTTCTGTTTATAGCATCTATAACGTTGGTGAGTGTAGGGACTATCTGCCTTTTCTCCTGTCTGTTTTGTTACCACCGCGTCCACAATGCCTACAGTATGGCCACTCTGCAGGCATTTATTAGTTGCTGGTTATATCAACGGACAAATACGGATGGGTCTCCTTTGTACTTAAGAAAGCTGCAAGGGCTGGAGAGACAGCTTGGTACTTAAGGATGCTCACTGTCTTGCAGAGAACTCAAATTTGTTCCCAGCAGCACCTATCAGGTAGCTTAAAAACACCTGTGCATAACTCCAGCAAAGCCGAACGCCATTTTCCGGCCTGTGAGGCACACACGTGCCTATGAGCACAAACACGTGTGCGCATACGTACACACGAATGAAATACTTAAAAAGGTAAACACCTGCCCTACTTATTTTAAAGGCCCTTGGATAGCTCAGATCCTCTCCCATTTACTTCTACCACTCATTCGCCACAATCCAAAGAAACACCAAGAAAGGAACATACAAAAAAATAATTTTGAACACTCACTGAGGAGGTGTTCGTGAGAGTCAAGGCAAAAATGAGATGTGAGTGACACAACAGGCCAGCCATGGCTTTTCCTTCCTTCTCTCCACCTTTCGGTGACAGACACACCAGCATGCTCCTGGAAGCTGTGTGTTTTCCTGTATGTTTCTAGTTAATGTAATGAAGGCTCTCACACCTTCCTGTCTGGCTCCCACACTCAGGCCTTTGTCTCCCATAGAACCATGATTATCCCTTTCAAGTTCTCTTTCAAAGTTAAATAACCATGAAGAGAAAAACATTATTTGTGGAAAATGTACTCCTTTCTTCTTTGCCTCTTATTATCCTAATTCATCTTCCTTTATATCACTATTACCCACCCACTAATGACACGGTACAAGCAATCGTGTCTCTTAGCATTTCACCGCCAACGAACCACAACACAACACAACACAACACAACACAACACAACACGAGCTACTATCCCTCCTTAGCGTCTGGCGCTCAGCACCTGTCCCTGGGCTGCCCCAGAAGTGAAACACTTCTAAGCAGATGAGCTATGGTGTATATGTAATTCATCTTCCTCTGGTTCAAGTTGAGTCTCCAGTGAGGCACTGCTACAAGCCTGGACCTGGCAGGAGGCCCTTGGGTCACTGAGTCCACACCCTCAGGAGCAGTGAAGTTTTCTCAAGAGTGAGTGAAGCCCCTGAGAGCTCTCTGGCTTTTCCTGACTGCCACATTAGAGTGGATGGTGAAACCAGGCCCTTTGGCCTCCTGAACTGTGACCTAAATAAACCTTTCACTTATAACACCACTCAGCTTCAGGTATTTTGTTACAGTAATGAAAACTGGACTGATTACAGCATAGGAAGAGTTAGTAATAAAACTGCCACAGAGCAATAGAGCAGGACAACTTTGTAACAATCACTGACGGTCCTTTTAACTCTACGACTGGACCATCATGGGACCATCATGTGAACCGGGGTTCAGAATATGGCATCCAAACAAAAGCTGCAGATAAAAGACACACCCTTCTGAGAGGAGGGACTTGCCATCTCTGTTGTTCCCTGAGGTTATCTGCCTTTCTAGGAAACAACCACAAGCCCACTTACACTTCAACACAGAACCCATCCCCTCCCAGGAATCTATGTGAGTGTTTGTGTGCATGACTGTTAAGGGTTGTGGCCCGGAAGATGCTCCAGGAGACGACTGAGGACAAATCAACAGCTCAGCTGAGACAGGCAAGACGCACTGTTCTCAGCCCAGTGCTGCTCCGGGGTGAAGGGGAGCCCATGGTTACCTCTGAGGAGCTGGAACTCTTTTGTGCATGCTCCCAGTGTGGAGACACTGCCATTAGAGGCTTTAGGAAAACTACCTCTGGTTTACTCGGCTTGTCAGAAACTCAAACTATTTTCTTTTTTTAGCATAAAATTCTTCCACAGAAAGAAGGTAGCCAGCAGCATTCATTCATTCTAAAGTGCATCTCTGGTTAAGGAGCTAAGTGCTCAGTGGCCAATGCCCTATCGGGGGATAACAGGATTCCCATGAGTGTTTATTCATCTAGATTTTGCTCTGTCAGGAAAAAAAAAATTCCCAGGTGACAATAAAAATATGGCACAGAGTGATGGCAGGTTTAAATAGACACCATTTAACACGAAATGAACGGACGGGAGTAGCTTTTTACAAAGTGAATTATATTTGTTACATCATGTTGTGCCATCAATCAGACCTTTTTCTCTCTGAAGCAAAGAGCAAGTAGCCAAAGCTGTGTGCGCACTGGCAGCACTCATTTCAGGCAGTTCCTTAAGGAATAATTGTAAGCTGTTAGAAAGGGCACATTTTTTAGACAGTTGCCCACTCCCCATTTTGGCAAAATCAGACTGCCTTGAGTTCCACGGGAAACAAGGAAAAATCCCGGCAGTTTCCCTCCTTTCTCTCAAAATTCTCTTGGGTCTGCTTTGCTCAGTGTCTACCGCGTGTTAGGGCCACAAGGGTATGCCGTACGGTTAAGTGGTCCACACACCGGAGCTGCTGCCTCCTCAGGGCTTCACTGCAGTGTGTATGAGGATGTGCCCACTCTCAGGAAAGCCTGTCCAGCCATCAGCAGGACCAAACCCTGAGTGTAGACACTCGGGCTTTAATAAAAACGCTCCGTCGAAACAAACACAGATGCAAGAGCAGCTGTCATCCTTTCCCGACACTGCTGCACTGACTTGGGGGCCACCGGTGAGAAAGAGCCCACGCTTACTCTCTCTAAAAGCTCTGTTTACTACCAAGACCACCCACTTGCCTTAGGAAGAGCAAGCCATGCAAAGTCGGGGGATTTCCTGGCCATTTTTTTTTTTTTTTTTTTTTTTTTGTGTGTGTGTGTGTGTGTGTGACAAAGGGTTTAATTCACTGTAACTGACAGCTGTCCTGACACTGTGCAACAGTTGGATGAGTTTGGTTAGATTTCTGGGCGGAGGGAAAACAAGAAGCGGGCCAGATTTTTCTATTTTGTTTCAGTTTGTGTAAGCTTGTTACAGAATGGGTGGCCTCCCTTCACCAGCTTCCCCCGTGCTTCCCACACATCAAACTGCAGTGCAGGTCCTTAGCTTGCCTCTGGGAGCCCAAAGCACGGGTACTAGGCTAGAGTCAAAAGTTCCTGTGTGATGCCAGCTTGTTCTACAGCACAGACCCTTCAGGCAAGCCTCCTCCTTGTCTTTCACAGAGGAGAAGTACTGGACGACAGCTAAGGTTGGCCAGATGACCTTTACAAAACTGGCATGCCACAGTCGGTCTGTGATGGGATCGTTTCTCTACAGCAACGATTCATGATTTTCATTAATTTTTAATTATATGCATGGTGTGTGCCTATGAGCTCACATACCCACGGAGGCTGGAGACCAGAGGTGTGGGAACTCCTGGAGCCAGGATTACAAGAAGTGAGCTAGCCAACACGCATTCTGGGAACTTAACTCAGGTCCATGTAAGAGTGCTAAGTGTCCTTAGCAGCTGAGCCGTCTCTACAGCCTCTTGAATAGTAAAGCTGCACATCGGTGTACAAAAGATTAACTACAGGGTTCTGATGAACGGTCTCTGTGTGGACCTTCCATTATTCCCCACCTTATTTACTGAACCCCAAGGACCCTCTCGTCTCTGCTGCCTCAGTTCTGGGGACTAGAACATGCTTGCCCATGGCCTGCTTTCCATGTGGGTGTTAAGTTTGCTGACAGTCATCTCCCTAGCCTTGACATATTAAAAAAAAAAAAATTCACCTTAGGAGAACATATAAATATATAACTACTCCGAACCAATGAACTCTCCCAGGTATGCAAGCACTCTTAGGCTGAAGTTACCTTTGGTAAGGGTGATCCACACATCCTGTGTGATTTCTCAGGTCACATGCTCTCCTCACCCAACCCAATAACGTTATTCTCTTATGCATCGGAACTAACAGGAACAGGCATCTTCCAAATTCTGACCACTACAGTGTCGCCTTGGACACTGCTAGGGCCCCAGTCAGCAGCGCAGACAAACACGGATCTCGTATTTCCTGGTACCTCTCAAGAGCCACCTAAGGTAATGGCCCTATTGGTTTTCGGTTTTTCCAATGAGTCAACAGAGCTGGAGTGAGAGGCTCTTTGCACATGCCTGCCCCTGTGGTGCTGGCACTCCCTCCTAAGAGTGCAGGGGTGGCTATAACCACAATGCCTTGCTGCAATCTCCATCTTGTTTTTTTTATCAGGCTCCCAAAGCTCAGACTTCAAAGGTCTGTGCTACTCACACTAAATGGCCCTCCTCAGGGCCTGTTGTGAGTGCTGGGGTACAGAATGGGATCTCTGTAGGTCACTGTGCTTACCCAGTCTCACGGTGTCAGCTCTGCAGTTCACAAGAGAGCACACCATCTCCCCAGTGCATCTGAAATGAGGTTTCCTTCATGCTTTAAAGCTCAGACGTTGACATCAGCACCAGCTGGAGAACCCACTCCGTTCAAATCCACCATTTTTCTAGTCATTTCAGTATCTGGCCTCAGCCATCAGACTGCACAATGTAAATGGCCCTTGACAAGCTTTTTCACCCAGTCTGAAAACTGGTACACTCAACTACCACAATCAGCCTTTCTGATAATGATGGCTACTTTAGAAATGCCGAGCTGCAGTGAGCTG